CTGCCCTGGCCTCAGAGGTGCAGAGCCAGGTGCGGGAGGTGTGGTGAGCAGCTCCTGGTCACACAACACAGCTGCATCTAAACACACTCCACACCTTACAACATCCTCCCACCACAGGCCATTCAGGCAATTTCAGAGGGTTCTAAACTGACGCTTGGTCTCTTATATAATAATTCTAATTAGAAAACATTTTTCTCCTCTGATCAGATCTACCACAACTAACCCAAAGTAGGGTTTTTCATTGTTTAAAACAAGAGATCCTGTGGATGAGGCTCAGTTCTGCAAAAGCCACCTGCATTTCACCAGGGAAGCCTCTGGAACAGCGCGAGAAGGGCTGCACCCAGCAGGTCAAGCATTCCAAGGGCACTCCCAGCTGCAGAATCCACCACAGCGACCAAGATTCAGGAGACAAATGACCCATAAAACCCCAGCAAGCCTTTCCAGAAGTCAATGAACAGAGGGCCTAGAATAGCCAAAACGATTTCAAGAAATGAGAACAATCAGAGGACTGACTACCCAACTCCAAAGCTCATCCAGGCTTCACTGCAAAGTGGCACTGACGTGGGCATGAGCACACTGCCAGCCCCGCAGCCCGGGGAGTCCGGCTCAGCCACACGCATGCCGTCCGCGGATGTCCACAGGTGCAGAGGCAAGCCAGAGAGAAAGGACTGCCTCTTCCACAAGTGGAGCTGGAGCAACTGGTGATCCCTGTGCAAATTAAAATGCACTTTGGTCTATACTGCACACTATATACAAAACGAACTCAAAATAGAGGACAGTCCTAATTATGAAACGAAAACAAACTTCTAGAAGAACACCAAAAGAAGATCTCTGTGACCTGGGGTTAGGTGAAGATTTCTTAGAAATGGCAACAAAACATGGCCTATAGTGGAAAAAATGGATGAACTGGACTTCATCAAAACGTTCGAAACTGTGCTCTCAGAAGATACCCTTAAGACAATGAGAAGACAAGCCACAGAGGAGGAGACATGCCTGAGAAAGGACTTGTCTCTGAGATACACGAAGGAATCTTAAAACTCAGCAGTGAGAAAAAAATTCCATGTGAAAAGACGGGCAGAATATTTGAAGCAGCAATATTCAGAGAAAACACGTGCATGCAGGCAAGCACACGGCGAGGCGCTGCCATGGCGCCCTCAGGGAAGTGCGGACAGACAAGCACACGGAGAGGAGACAGCGTTGGCTTCCTCAGGGAAGTGCGGACAAGCACACGGAGAGGTGGCCTCGATGGCGCCCTCAGGGAAGTGCGGACAAGGACACGGAGAGGCGGCCCGCGTCGGCGCCATCAGGGAAGCGGGGACAGACAAGCACACGGAGAGGAGACAGCGTTGGCTTCCTCAGGGAAGTGCGGACAGACAAGCACACGGAGAGGAGACAGCGTTGGCTTCCTCAGGGAAGCGGGGACAGACAAGCACAGGGAGAGGGGCCGCCATGGCGCCCTCAGGGAAGTGCGGACAGACAAGCACACGGAGAGGCGGCCGCGTTGGAGAGGCGGCGGCCGTTGGCGCCCTCAGGGAAGCGCGGAGGGAAACCACAGCGAGACCCTGCGCACCCTCCACGGAGCACAGACAATCAAATAAACGAACTGCCAGCACCTCGAGCTGAGCAGCCGCCGGGTGGGGGGCGTCCTCCTCCACAGCCGGCGGAGCAGCATGGCAGAGCCACTGTGGACAGCTTCTGTCACAGCCAAAGAAGGCCCAGCAGTCACGTTCCTGGGTCCTTGCTCAAGAGAAATGAAAACGGAGGCTCACACATAAATGCAAATGTTTACCACTGTTCTGCTCGTCATCAAACCCCAAACAATCCAATGCCCTTCAGTGGCTAGACCACAGTGCTGTGATGCGTGCGCACGTGGACGGCACCCCACCCCTGAGAACAAGCCCAGGATAGGCACCCCACGCGGTGGGTGCCAAGTGGCCAGGCTTGGAGCCAGACATGCAGGTGCCGCTGGGTGGTTCCCAAACCCCAAGGCGGATGCTGCGTTTAAACAGCACCTGAGGGTTCCCACACACTTTTCAGGCGTGTCCTGAAGACACAGCAGACACCATCAGGAACCACACTGTGCCAGAGGAGAAGAAATCCCACTCAGAAACACACCAAGCGCTCGGGGTCCCACAGCTCAGACCCCCACGCCTCATGGGGTCCCAGGGAGGTGAGCGGAGGCCTCACGCTGTGGCCGGAGGGGGCTATGGGGAGACAGAGCCCCAGGGCGGGGCCTGGACTGCTGAGGACAGCCAGGCAGGGCACATTCCAGAACCGCGTGTCACAGGGTGCTGTTGTTCAGCGGCATCCCCCAGGGGGCGCTGGTGAGCCCGGTGAGCCGGAGAGGCCGTGAGCCACTCCATGGCTTGGGGGTGCACAGTGTTGGGGGCAGGTTTAGCCCCTTGACGCGCTCAGCCTGGACACCCGCACCATTCCCTGTGGTGCTGGAGGAGCCAGGCCACCCCAGGCAGCCCAGCAGTGCCTGGAACTGACAGTGCCCATTGGGCCCTGTGGGGGTGTTGACTCTCTAGGGCCCTTGGGGCCTCTCTGTCAGTCCCGGACCATCAAAGGCGCTCTCTCTTCTATTCACACCCTGCCCAAGCTGACATGCGGATGCCAGGCCTGACTGCCAGCTTGGTGACCAGTGCTGGGGCACGCAGCCCTTTCTGACTGCCTCGGAGCCAGGCACCACCAGCATGAGTCACTCGGCGGGGAGGGGGATGGCTGAGGGGGCTCCCCCATCAGAGGCGACATTCAGATCGGGACACCTGCTTTGCCTGTGCCCCGAGTGTCTTGGGGAAAGGGCGCCTGGGTCTCTGCTCCATGCTGGTGGGGAGCTCTCCCCAGGAAACCCAGGTGCCCCTGCCTGGGGCAGTCCTAAGAGTTCTAGAACAGTGGTGCCTGCGTCTTCCCCAGAGACACTTAGTCTGGTTGCCTGGCCCTCCCGACACAGAGTGGGCCTGTTCTCCAGATACCAGGGTGCTGGAGGAGCCTCCGAGTGCAGAGCTCGGCATCTTCATTGCCCATGTGCTCCCCAGCCCCGCGCCCTGCCCGGAAGCCGACCCAGCCGGGCGCTGCCACTGCTCACACACGATGCCCTGTGGGGCCTGGACTTACTTCCCAGGCTCTGAGTCCCCTGGCCTCTTGGCCTGGCTCGGTCTCTCAGGGGACACTGGGACCCGGCCTGCAGCCTCCGGGAGCTGGGCTCAAGTCAGGATAGCCCTCTGAGGACCGAGGCCTGTTCCTCCGGGGCGGATGTCACAGGCACTCCTGGCTCGGGACTATGCATCCAGCACCCTTGTGAATCAGGAATGCCCTCCCAGGGTGACCTCTCTGAGGCGCAGGGGCCAGCGGGTGGGGTGACAGCTTGCTGCTCGGGTTCCAGAGAAAGCTACCAGCTCCCCTGGGCTCTCTCGGCCTGCAGCTGCTGTGGCTGGAGTGCCCTCTCCAGAGGCTGCCACAGGTGGGAAGCTGGGGGCTGTGGAGGGGAATCTCAGGGGAAACAGCCTCTCCCTGTACTTAGGCGAGTCCAAGAGTGAGGGGCTGCGGCTCTCCTAGGGCACCAACCTCTGGGATCTTCCATTAGCTCCTGAGACCTGAGGAGGCTGAGAAGGAACCCCTAGCTGGTGGGTCCCGCGGGGGCAGTGGGGGCTTCTGGGGAGGCTCCTGCCTGGTAGGGACATGGCCTCAGGGGAGCCCTGTCTGGCATCGCCATCGTGCACGTCAGCTCCGAGTTCTCACTGCTCCAGGAGGGTCCAGTGGTCCTGGTCCTGCAGGACCCAGCCTGGGGGCCCCCTGCCTCCCCCAAGCCCCAGCAGGATACAGAGGACCTAGAGCAAAGTTTCCTAGGGCCGGCCGTGGTTGGTGGCAAGCCCTCCAGGCCCTGCCCATTCTCCCCTGGCAGGTGACTCCACCAGTAGCTGAGCACCTGGGGGCAGGTGAGGTGATGTCTGGCCACTTGGGAGGGCTTCCCCCCTCATCTCTGGAAACCGGAGCCCTTCCTGCACCCCACTCAGCTTAGCCAATGGATGACAATGGCCACTGGGCCACGGCAGCTCAGGCCCTAGGGTGGGCTGAGAGCCAGGGCCCTCCCATTGCTGCACTAGCTCTAACCCCAGGCAGGACCACCATGAAGCCCCCACACAGCGGGTCGGTGGGGTGCCTGAGCTCTGGAGGTCTGGCTACTGAAGGTCCCACCCTACCTGAGGGGCCGCCTGTGATCCACCCACTGTTTCCCTCTGAGTGGGACACCCTAAGATTCCTCCTAATTTTGCGTTGCCGCCAGCCTTTTTGTTTTCCTGGGAAGGGGTGGGGGTGGAGCATGTGTGGTCACCGCCCTGTGGATGTCACCAGGAAGAGGTGGCCCTTGGTGGGACGTGGACTTGGGGCCCAGAGGGACCCCGGGCAGATGTGAGGGGCCCGACCTTCTCTAGGGGTCCTCAGGGGCTGGGCTGCCTCCGTCTGCCCTAGTCTCTGCCCTGGCAGGGCTGGGGTCTGTGCACCTGAGGTCAGTTTCTGGCCGTTTGGAAGTCACCCTCTCACATGACCTGTGCTGCCTGGCCAGGCTCATGGGGCAAAGTGGACAGCCAAGGCCACACCCACCACTGGCCGAGCACCACACAGTGCGCTGGGGAGAGCAGAAGAGATGGGTACTTGTCACCATGCAGTGCACTGGGGATTGCCGGTACTGCACCTGCAGGTCACAGGAGCCACAGGCCTTGACTGTGAGGCCACAGTGCCACGAGCTCATGAACCCTCAGTCACAGACGCACCCACGGTCAAGGGACACCCCTGCCAGGGGCTCCACTCTGCAGAAGCCACTGTCACCCTGCACTTCCAGGGGTGACCACTAGAGGCTCCCCAAAGACAGAACTGGCCGGAGGGCTCCAGAGCTGCCAAGCACCAGCCCGGGACAGGGTGGCGCCCACAGTAATGGAGGGACAGGGTTGGGTGTGGGGAATGCAGCCCACCCTTCCCCGGGGCTGGGTACCACGGGGGAGGGGGAGGGGAGCAGTGCTGCCCTGAGGCTCCTGGCCCTTCCAGGGGAACTGACAACTGCTTTTCTGAGATGGACAGACAGGAGGACATCACACACAGCGCTCTGAGGACCTCACCTGCCCTGTGGTGGCTGCCCTCCAAACACGCAGTGACCTGGATTCTCTCCAAACCTGGGTCTTGCTCCTGGGAGGTGGCTGGATCGGCTTCCGTACTGGGAACAGTCTGCGGACTTTAGGACAAAGTGTCCTGCCAGCTGTCCATGCTCGGGGTGACCACAGACCCCAGTGCTGGCTGGCCTGGGGGTGTACCAGGCTCAGCAGTCCTCCCCATTCGGGGTGACCACAGACCCCAGGGAGCCTGGCCCTGCTGTTCTCAGGCCCCCACTGGCCCTGGTTTCCTCCTAACCTGCGTCCAGGTATCAGTCCCCCAAGCCAAGCCACCACCCAATCTCCGCCTAGGTGTCTGCAGGAAATATCAGTGCATTTACTTGGGAAAACACACCACACCCAGCACACAAGCGTGGGCCCTGGGGGAGGCTGGGGCTCCCAGCGAGCTGAGACCCCAGCCCAGCCCTCCTTCCTCTGCCTCATCAGCTGGGTGCCCCCACCTGGGCTAGCTGGACCCACAGGGGGCCCAGTGAGCAAGGCTGGCAGACCCTTGCCCAGAGGCTGGTGGTGTTTGGTGCAGGTGGGGAGGCAGCGGCTGAGCCTGACCCCAGGGGTCCCGAGGCACCCATGGCATGGGCCCCTCCCCAGGCTCGAGGAGGTGTCAGAAGATTCACTGTCCATGGCCCTACTGGGCCCCACTCCCACCGCTTGTGGTCCGATCCCGCCTGTGCACCTCATGCCTCCATTAATTAATATTTTGAAGCTGCCAGTGCGTGCTCTTTGCAGGAGGGAGTCATTGTCTGGGTTAACGGTAGTCTTCAACAAAAACCTGGCATACGGCTGCAAGAAATTTGTTTAAGATTTAACACATAGTAACATCAAAACAAACAAGCGCTGCCATGGCAACGAGGACTAAACAAAGGCTCGCAGATACCCCGAGCTGGCGCCACGCCGGTGGAGCCATGGCAACCTGCCCCGAAAACAGAAATCGGTGGACTTTTTCTCTGCAAGTCCTGTCAGAGTCAGCAGCTTTCTGCGGTACCTAAGGCCACTTCCTCGCGGTCCCCAGGCTCCTGAGGGAGGCAGAGGCTCCCACAAGTGACAGTGGGCATCCCCCTCTCCAAAATGCAAAACAAAAGCAAGCCAATACCCCTCAGGCCTGCTGCCCACCACCCCTTGCTTTTCCTGGAGATTAAAGGAAAATCTCTAGTGTCGCCAGCCCCTCCTGGTGGCCCTGCCCCCCTCTGTCTTCCTGAGACAAGTGTGTGAGTTTAGGCCCCTTGCTCCTGCACACCTGGGAGGTCAGGACCCCGTGCCAGGATCACAGGGATGCCCCCCGAGGGAAGTCCAGGCTGCAGGAGGGAAGGACAGTTTGAGGGTAGGAGAGATGCGAAGGCAGTCCTGGGGGAAGCCCGGGGTCACAAGGGTCTGCGGCTGCAGGTGAATTGGGAGGCGGGGAGGTCAGAATCCCTCAGCCTCCCCTCAGGCCAGGGTCCTGGTCCTGGCCACCTGAGCTGCTGCCCACAGGACAATCTGCCACACGGCGCCCACCCACGGTGCCCAGCCAGCCGACCAGGCTGCCCAGGACTGGGTCTCAGCCTCAACCCCTCCCTGGGCTCGGGCCACAGCTGTCTGCTCCCCCAGACCTTGACCCTCATGGCCAGCCAAGGCTGGCACACCGCAAGGCTGGTCCCAGGTTCTGCACTGGGGAGGTGGCCGTGCTGGAGCAGGGGGCCAAGCTTTAGCCCCCAAGTGCCTGAGCAGCTCAAGCCCTGGCTCTGGGAACAGGCCCAGACCAGCTGGGGCTCCTCCGGCCTTCTGGGGTGCCAGCACCCCCACGAGCAGGCAGGGCTCCCATCATTCTCCAAATGAGCCACAGCCGCCAAGCCCCAGTCACCACAGGGAGAGCTCTGCATGTGTGTGCAGGCGTGTGTGTGCACGTGTGGCCATGTGCACGCACACATGTGCCATAGTTTGAAGGCCACTTTCTGCAGAAGGAATCATACCTGGCACCATACTTGGTGTGTCTGGGCAGCGCCAAGGCTGTGCGCATGGGGCTGGCCCTGCAGGGCTGATGGCCCCTGGAGAGGCTCTTCCCACCTCCCGCCCAGCCCTTCTAGGAGCTTCACCCACAAGCACTGTCTCCACACTGCTTTGCCCTGGGTCTGCTCCTGTGTATCCCAGAGCACACATTGGGCGGCACAGAGGGCACCCAGGGACTCGTCCCAGACGCGCCCACATGCCCAGGCCTGCTGAGGAGCAGCTGCCAGGGCCCAGGAGCACGGGGCTGGGATCCACGAAGGGGCTGGGTCCCCACCAAACAAGGACACCTGAGGGGGAGGAGGAGCACTGGGGGACACATGGGCCCTGGCGGCCAAGGGGAGGAGCCAGCCCTGCCAATGTCCACACAGGCTCCAGACACCATGGCCGCTCTGCGAACCCCACCTGCCGCTGTATGGGCTAAATATAGCCAACCCAGTTTCCCTCTCCTGGTCTGTGTGCCTGGGACACGTCCCTTGGCAAAGTGAGTTCTGGGCTCAGGACAAGGGCACTATCTGTGCCACAGGCTCTGGCCCCCGGCCTCCTGGGCACAGCGCAGGTCAGTGCCGCCTGCCCATGGCTGTTGACCCACCAGAGCGGCCCTGGTCACCAGGACCTGCCAGCAGCTGGCTGGGGGTGTCTACACAAGCCTACACTGCATAGCCCGCTGCTGCAGGAGGCTGCAGGTTTCCAGCAGGGATGGCGGCTGGTCTGTCTTCCAGGCAGCAGCTGGCACGACAAGCCCTGTGGGTGATATGGGAGCCCCAGCAAGCCTGTGGGAGCTGCCTCTCGCCAAAGAGCCCACAAGTGGGGTCTGGACCTCTGAGTCAGGTGCCAGTCGCCTCAGCCATAGTACCATTGGAGGTGCGGCCCCGAGAGTCAGTCCACGAAGGATCTGTGGCTGGGGGTGCAGCGTGTGGGGTGCAGTGTGGCCAGGGGTGCAGTATGGCCAGGGGTGCAGCACAGGCAGGTGTAGTGTGGCCAGGGGTGCAGTGTGGCCAGGGGTGCAGCACAGGCAGGTGTAGTGTGGCCAGGGGTTGCAGTGTGGGGGGTGCAGGCTGTCAGACGGACCCTCGCAGGCCAAGCCCCAGCCCTTGTCGGGGCCCTTCTGGTCCCCTTGCCCTGGCAGGCTCTTTGTGCCTTCCTGGTCTCCAGAGGCCCCAGGGATGAGTGATCCTGGGTTAGTATGGGCTCCAACCACCAAGGTGTTGGCAAATGATGGCCCTGTCCAAGGCTGGGGAGCGCAAGGCTACGTGACTACCTGCCCAGAGGGGCCAGCCACAGTCTCCTCTCACACCAGCCGATGGCTAAGCCCATGAGGACGCTGAGGCTGGGAAGCCACAAAGGAGGTTGGCAGGGGCCACTGGGTCTGGGCAGGGTCAAGGGTGAGACCAGCTTGCACCCGGGTCCCCGGATGGACCCTCCCCTCCAGTTTCTCTAGGACTGAGGCTGCGAGCTGTCAGGACGACGAACAGGACTTGCTGGCCCTGGTTGCCCCTGCCATCCCCTAGAGCTGGGGGAGCCTGCAAGGCAGTCAGCTGGAGAGAAGATCCGGGTTCAGGCATCCTTTTGAGCGGTTTCATGGCTTTTCTGGCATAACTTCCTAAACTCAAAATGCCCTCAGATGCACTCAGATGTGCCGTACACAACAGGAAGCTCACCAGGACATGCACAGTCCGGGAACACGCACGACCCAGGAGACACCCAAGACCCAGGGGACATGCATGACCCGGGAGACACATGTGACATCGCCACAGACCACAGCAGAGACAGCACAGCTGCAAAGGCCATGGTGCCCATCCAGAGCTGGTAGACGGGTGCTGACACCGCAGAGGTGGGCCCCAAAGCCTTCAGCATGGGGGCATCTGACCCACGGCCCAGCCCCTTGCAAAGCCAAGGCGCCGAGGGGGAAGGCAGCAGGAGCTCTGAGATGAAAGAGTAACGAGGTTGTGGCAACGCAGGAATCTGGCCACAAGTGGACGCGGGTGCAAACCGCCAAAATAAAGCCATTTCTACACAGATGGACAGGACAGGGCTGGACACGGGGCTGGGGGAGAACCACTGCTTTTCTCAGGCGCGATCATGGTGGGGTGTCGGGACATGAGGTGAAATGTGCCGGGGTGGGTGAGGGTGCCTCAGTGTGCTTCCCGGCAATCATCCAGGAGAAAACAGGCAACGTGTGACACAGCAACAGGTGTGTGCACACATGACACAGAAATGCACGTGCATATGTGCACACACGATGCAGAAACATGCACACACGTGCACACACGATGCAGAAACGCACGCACACGTTCACACACGACGCAGTAACTCACGGGCACACGTGCACACACGACAAAGAAACACATGCACACCTGCACACACGACGCAGAAACACACACACATGTGCACACAGGACGCAGAAACGCACGTGCACACACGACAGAAACGCACGCACACGTGCACACATGACACAGAAACACTTGCACATGTGCACATATGACACAGAAACACGTGCACACATGCACACACGACGCAGTAACGCACGGGCACACGTGCACACACAACACAGAAACACGCAGACGTGCACACACGATGCAGAAACACACACGTGCACACAGGATGCAGAAACGCACGAGCACACACGACGCAGAAATGCGCGCACACGTGAACATACGACAGGAACACTTACACATGTGCACACATGACACAGAAACACGTGCACACGTGCACACAGGACGCAGAAACACGTGCACACACGACACAGAAACGCACACCCACACATGCACACACGACGCAGAAACGCGCACACATGCACACACAACGCAGACAAAGCAAACGGCATGATGCTGTTTTGCAGTGATGGCCAGAGCCGCATCCTTGGTGCCCTTTGCTGTTTCGGCACCTGTGGGCATCCCGGGGCAGAAGTGGAGCAGCACAAAGGCTTTGGGAGGGGCTGGGGGACACCTGAATGGCCAGCTCCATGCATGGGGACACAAGCATCCAACCTCTGAGACTCAGCCCCTGAGTCAACCCATGGAGGGTCAGGAACTCTGCCTGCCAGCAGCCAACTGCCTCTCCAGGCTTCAGGCAGGCACTGTCCCCACTCCTGGGGAGGCCCAGTGATCCCAGCCACAGCTCCCTGACTCTGGAGAGCAACATTCACCCTGAGTCTGCTCCGAGGCCAGACACCCCCTCATAGGCCACCTCCCATGCCAAGACCCCACACGACCATGGGGCCAGGAGGAGCCAGGGCTGCCGCTCAGGACTCGGAACCGAGAGGTCCTGGAATGCCCGGACCCCTGCTTCCCGGAGGCCCAGATGGCACATTCAGACTCCCACGTCTGGGCTGCTTCTGAGAAGGGCAGGGTCTTGAAGCACAACCCCCTCGACTCCCCATGGCCCACTCCCCACAGAACCCACCCAGGGGCTCAGGGTCACAGACCCCCATGAGCCAGGTCCCTCGGCCCGTGAGCCCAGTGCACTCACTTGATCTTGCTGAAGACGATGTCCACGTCGGTGACCGTCACGTTCCTGCTGTTGATCACCTGGCAGTCCTTGCACAGCTTCGACCAGTTCTTGCCATGCATCTCCCTCCCCGTGGCCCTGGTGTCCCCGTGCACCGCAAAGCGCCGGAAGGCCTCCTCCAGGGCACTGAGCTCGGGGGCCGCTGCTGCACCCTCACCGGCACCCTCCGACTCCAGCGACAGCCTCTTGGCCGCCTGGTCCTTCGAGGGGTCCCCCGGGGACTTGGGGGGGGTCCTGTTGGCGGCTTTGGCGGGCTTCGCCTTGTCAGCCATGTTGCTGTGGAGGAAGGAGAGGAGAAAGGTGTCACCCGGGCCATGTCCCAGCTGACCTGGGTGCAGCCCAGGAGACCCACCATACCAACGAGCACCAGGATGTGGCTGAGATGGGCAGGCCCTCCCGGGGCGACGTGGCGAGGGCTGAGACAGGCAGGCCCTCCCGGGGCAACGTGGCGAGGGCTGAGACAGGCAGGCCCTCCCGGGGCTGGGCGTGAGGCCCCTCAGACCCTCAGAGCCAGCTGCCCTGGAGGCACGCGTGTCCAGCTGCCAGGCAGAGTGGAGCCAAGCAAGGCCTTGCCCACTTGCCGTCATTGGGCCAAGGACCCCCTAAGTCAGATAAAGCCAGCAGCTTTAGGGTGGGAGCTGAGCTGGGTGCCAGGGGCTCCAGGCCGAGCAGGCTCAGGGTGTGACTGGCAGCATCACAGCCCATCCCGGGTTCTCCCCACCGCCACACTTTTCCACTGCCCCTCCTGTGGACGCCTGCTCTGCAGCTCTGGGGGACACCTGAGGACCACACCTCCCCAGGGTCCGTGACGGGACGCCTTCCTCCGGGAGGGTCCACAGCGGTCCTGCGACAGCGGCTCCCACTGCAGTGCAGAGCCTCTGACCATAGATGGAGCTTTGGGTTGGGGGGGTGTGTGTGTGGTGGCCCTGGGGGCACCTGAGGATGCTCTGCCCAGGTGCCCTGGGCCTGCCGAGCTCACGGTGCCCCAGCCAGGGGAGGGGACTGCGGGTGTGCAGGGTTGAGGCAGTGGTGGGGTCATGGGCATCGGGGCACAGGGACGCCCTCTGGACTTTGCAAGGTGCCCACCCCCAGAGCAGGCGGCTGGGCCGTGGGGTTGAGAAGACTGAGGGGTGCCGCTCAGGGAGGGTTTGGGGACGCAGGGCTACGCCACAGGGCGGGGCTGCCGAGGCCGCCTCCCCACCACGCATGGTGAGACCCA